ACCATTGTAAGATGTCCTAGTAAGGGAGCCATGACCTTTCAAAGAGTCTTTCAACTTTTTACATATTTGGAGGCTATGATGCCACTGCAAAAAATGACTAAAGAGGAGGAATTGATCATGGAAAGCCGGGAACCCCCAAAGATCCCGGTTCTTCAAAGTCAGCCGCCAAAAACCCTATGGTTCTTCAAAGTAAGCCCGTTGAACATGGATTTGGAGCAGGGACAGAACATTTTCCGTTTGATTTGAGACTCGGCCCAGGGCGCCAAGACTTCTGGGAGCGCAAGCAGCGGAGCCTCCTCCACGAAGTGGAGGACTTGGCGATCGAATACGTGGAACGGGTGGTTTCAGCTTACCCCTTGGCTTGGAAGGGTCAAGAGAAGCTCTCACGACAATCGCCAAGCAGAGCGTTCCACATAAGGGGCTGTGATGGCGAGAAGGACCTGCGGCTTGCACGTATGCCGTTCCAGAATCCTGGATATGCATTTTGACTGTATCTAGCTCTCTCTCTCTCTCTCTGTCTGTCTGTCTGTCAGTCTGTCTGTCTGTCTGTCTGACAGTCTGTCTGTCAGTCAGTCAGTCAGTCAGTCAGTCTGTCTGTCTGCCTGTCTGTCTGTCTGTCTGTCTGTCTGTCTGTCTGTCTGTCTGTCTGTCTGTCTCTCTCTCTCTCTCTCTCTCTCTCTCTCCCTCTCCCTCTCCCTCTACACTCATTACATGTTTTGAATCATTCTCTTGGTGCTGGGCAAACTTTGAGCATCAAAAGCGAGCCCTTGGACTTTGGCTTCCAGTTGCTCTCGCCGTAGGGGGCGCACAAGCCACGCTGACCGCAAACCCTTGTTAGGCGTGGGGCGTGTTGAATCGCACTCTCGCTGCATGGTGCAACATTTAAGCATCATTCTTATTAGTGTTCAGGGATTTAGGAACCTTGCATGATCCTCAAAAGTGATCTCATGCAGATATCTTGCACAGCACCTGCAACAGAGATCTTTGCATACGTTTTGCAGAGATCCTCTCACAGTTGTTGCGACTTTTTGCAGGAACCTCGCACGAGGGTCCTTAGATCTTGCAAGGCGCTCTGAAGACCGGCACGCTGAGTGTTGTTTGCAGCGCTCCTCAAGGGATGCAGAAAAGGAGATCTTTAGAGATCGATCACAGGAGATCTTGTCTGCAGAATTTGCAACGTCCGTCCTCCACAGAGAAGGACATTTTGCAGGGGTCAAGAGATCTAGCGCACAGATATATTGCGGGGTGCTGTTGCTCCCAAAAAGCATAACTAGGTTCGGTTGGCAACAACATATGCCTACTGCCTCTTCTTTGTGCCGGGAATGCACGTCAACTGCAAAGGCTGGGGTCATTTGCGGAGAATTGGGAAAGGATAGCCATCATTCTGGGGTCCCCCTGATTTGTCGCATACCCGTATGTGTTTTGTCCAGGGTACAGGTACAGATGGGCGCTTCTGCTGGCAGGAGCTAGCCAGAACCATGAAGGAGCAGAAGGTCGCCGAAATCCTGGCGCGGGCTCGCTGTTCGTACTTAGCTCTTTTGGTTGGGTGGGGCTCTAACTTGGCTCAGCCTCAGACTCATGTCTTTCACTCGGGGAACTCTCGAACCCTGATCCTCCGGTGAGCTGGCACATCCCTTCGCTCGCTCATTTTGCAAAGCGCAGAGCATGGATCTGACTGCAAGGCAGAGGAGGTGGATGACTGGAATGAGAACGCGCGCGGGCCCTGAAGGGTGGCAATGCACTGAGGGGCCTTTTCTTTTCTATTTCATTTCCAACTTGTTGAAAAAAGAAAGCAGATGTATTGTAGATCTTTTTGATTTTGCAAGTTCGCTAATAATCTGCATTGAGCGCCCCTTTCCCTTTTGGGGGGCGGGGGGCCTTTGATCGAGGCTACCGCATGAGATATGTCCAAAAATTGCTTGGGCCGTTCTTTGGATGGTGTCAAACACGAGCCCCAAAGGAAAAAAAACAATGTTTTTTGATCCCCTATTATATATATATATATATATATGTACCAGTCCCTAGGCCACGTACCCCCCCCCCCAATGGTATGGGCATCATCCGCATCTTGGGGATGATGCTGGCAATGCTGGGGATGCTGTCTTGTACTGTGTGAGCTTCGGTCCCAGACTCCCCCTTTCACCCCGTGAACCAACACCCCCGCACCTCTCGCAACATCCTACCCTAAACCAAACCACCCTGCAACCCCTCCTTAACCCCAACCCTAAGCCTAAATCAACCCAAACCCCAAACCCACCCGAAACCCACCGCACCCGACCAACCCCCAACCCTGAACCAACCCTGAACCAACCCTGAACCAACCCTGAACCAACCCTAAACCAACCCACCAAGCCTAAACCACCACTCCCCAACCACCACCCCCCACCACCCCACCACCCCACCACCCCACCACCCACCCCCACAGGGGGGGGGGGGGGGGGGGGGGGCGGGGGGGGGGGGTCCACGGCCTGGAACATATATATACTGTGTCATGGAGTCTCCCGACTATGATTAAGAAGCTGTCAAACTTGGGGAAGAGGTCTGGCTGGGCGGCGCGCTGGTGAGGAGGGGTCCTCAATGTCGATGAATTGTAGTGTGTGGACGGTTCCTTAGTTAGGAGTTGCCATTTGCTGCTTCTTGCTGAACGCTTGATGCCTTTGGCATGCCTCCAGATACTTTGAACCCTGCTGGATACTTTTGACCGCAGTCCAAAGCTTGATAGACACGAGCTAGTGTTTGGACGACGCGTCTCCGGACAGGCGGTCTGGTTTGACACATTTTCTCCCGTTGCAATCAACAAGTTTACCAGCAGGTCTCATTTTGGGCCAACGAAGTGGCTGAATCCCAGCTGTTATTGCAGCTACTGTCCATCATATAAACATCCCACGCACCTCTTCTGATTCGTGACCTCTTTTCCATGTTTCCCCGCCGCTTTGCTTCATCCTCCCACCTCATCCTCCCACGTCACACTCCCACCTCACCCTCCCACCTCATTCCACCTGGTCTTCTTTTGGAAGATCTCCATTTCTCCTTTGGACTCCTCGCGCTTTTCCGCGAGGCTGGACCCCACCTCAAAGTTGCGGGAGATCAAGGAGCGCTCCCAGGCTGAGGCGCCAGCGCGACTCTGCCGCTTTCGAAGGGTCCACGCCAGGTGGGCTCGCCCTACGCAACCGCTGAAATTGAGCTGAAGTCAAAAAGAGTCAGCTCACGTTTCTCATCAGCTTTGTGCCCATTGTGCGGTCTTGGGTCAGAAGGTACTTGCTTTTGGAAAACCACATCTTGAACTCAGCCTCAGAACTTTGAACTTTCGGACACATTGTGAGATGCATCTCAGAACCTGATTGGGGTCCAGAGACCTCTGCTGATAGGAGATGCAGGTAATGTGCTGTGGGCACTCGAACATTCCGCCACCTGTGCTCTTGGTCAGCTACGGTGTCAGATTGACGTCAAGCACGAATACTAAGGTGACCGCACAAGTGGCGATGTTTTGACAGACGATGTCTCGGTACTCCTGAGAGCATCTGAAATGCAGATCCAACGTTTCGGTGTGTCACCTGCAAGGGCTAGTTCAGGACGCGCGCCATCCAGAGACTCTAAGAGACTCTTTGCAGCGTTCCAGCATGAAGCTGAAGCCACCGTTTCAGAGAAATAGATTCGGCAAAGTGGGCACCCTTCTCAAACCGTGTCCTCCCAACATGGCAACCGAAATGACTCACCTGTTTAAATTCGCAGGCATTCAGGGACCCGAGTGGTGACGGGACCATTGGGCGGGACGCAGTTCGATATTCCACCAAACATCCCTAAAGACACCAGGAACTCTTGATTTTCGACCCAACCTCGTTTACTCCTGTCCCCCCACCTCGTTTAACCCACAGAAGTTGTTTTCCTTCCAACGGTGTTTCAGCATGTTCAAGGTAAGCAGTTTTTTTTGGCTCCAAGAAGCTGTGTAACCTTAGACAAGGGCTTGGCCCATTCCAACAGACCTCCCCCAGTCGCTCTCTCAGATCCAGCGCGCCGTGGACTCCGAGCGCTACAAGATGCAGAAGATCCAGGAGTGTGGGGGCCCCGCCCAGACGGACTTGCCACGTTCTTTGGAGCTGACTTTTGTGACCGGGGAGTAGACAATTGCAAAGCTCTCAACGCTCATGATTTATGATCGTTACCTAATTTGGTATCCAAGCACCCTGCAATCCCATCTTAGGCCCTGATAGTACCGAAAAAAAGCGCAGGCTGAACTGGCCATGTTGCCAAAAACTAAGAGCAAATGGGGAGCGAGGCCTCATTGAAGTCTGCGCCCTCATGAAAGACAGCGGGACACCAGTTTCAAAGGAGTGGGAAAGTGGTGGTTGGGTGCAATCTGTACCGGGATCGTTGCTGCTGACCTCGAGATAGTCACTTGAGCCACACTCAAACCGGGCAAGTACAGATTACTAGGGAGAGTCATAACCACAACCAGGTACAGCAAGAAGCCCTTTGATTCTTTGCATGGTGTTTCAATGCCAGCCTTGTATGTCCGAAACATTTGCCGTGCGTTGTGTTTATCCATTGCAACAACATGGACAATAGACCCGTGAGCAACTCTGAAAAGGTAGACCCTGAAACCAATCCCTTCACGTGATCCTCCTATCCCTCAACCGTGGAAGGCGTCTTTTGTTGGCAGGGGGAGTCCCAACAACAAACATGGCAAGAAGCTGTTGCACAGTTTGCGATCGACTTCCATGGGGCTTGGGTATGGGTCAAAATTAAACCATCGGGGGACCGCAGGTTGCAGTCCATGTTTCCATTGTTCCATTGCGTACTTTTTTTGGCCCCACACCCATTTGAAGGAACATGTCCCTGTGACTTGAGCCCACCTTGGCAGATATAAATGTTCCGGACGCGGGTCCCAGGTGCCGAGCGGCACGACAAAATGATCAAGCAGGTTGCCGGGGAGCCCGGCCGTTGCAGGTTCCCTGTGCTGGAAGTATATCTATCAAACATTCATCCATGAATATATATATATATATATATATATATATGCATATGTATACTTACAGAGGTAGATCATATACAAATAATATGCATGCATGTACATACATATGCATATATATATATATATATATATATATTTCTATATACACCACAAAACTTCTTTTTTCCCCACATCTTTGTGTGGGGTTCTTACTTTTTCCGCTCGTCGTCCGCGCGCCGCGTCTCCTCCTTCTCCCGCTCGTCTCCGTCTCACTCACTCACTCACTCACTCACTCACTCACTCACTCTCACTCACTCACTTCACTCACTCACTCACTCACTCACACTCACTCACTCACACTCAGTCACTCACACTCACTCACACTCACTCACACTCACTCACTCACACTCAGTCACTCACACTCACTCACACTCACTCACTCACACTCACTCACACTCACTCACTCACTCACTCACGCTCACTCACACTCACTCACTCACACTCACTCTCATTCACTCACTCTCATTCACTCACTCGCATTCACTCACTCACTCACTCACTCGCTCACTCACTCACTCACACTCGCTGACTCACGGCAGCTGTCTAGAGGGACAGGATGTTGTCGCGCGCGCGGCGGGGGGCGTGCGAAATCGTGGCAGGCGCAGCACTTTGGCGATGCCGTTGCGAAATCGTGGCAGGCGCAGCACTTTGGCGATGCCGTTGCCGAAGTCGTGGCAGGCGCAGCATTCTGTGCATCTGGGTGTGTGTTTGTGTGGCAGGGGTCGCATTCGGCAGCTGTCTAGAGGGACAGGATGTTGTCGCGCGCGCGGCGGGGGGTGTGCGAAATCGTGGCAGGCGCAGCACTTTGGCGATGCCGTTGCGAAATCGTGGCAGGCGCAGCACTTTGGCGATGCCGTTGCCGAAGTCGTGGCAGGCGCAGCATTCTGTGCATCTGGGTGTGTGTTTGTGTGGCAGGGGTCGCATTCGGCAGCTGTCTAGAGGGACAGGATGTTGTCGCGCGCGCGGCGGGGGGCGTCGCGAAATCGTGGCAGGCGCAGCACTTTGGCGATGCCGTTGCCGAAGTCGTGGCAGGCGCAGCATTCTGTGCATCTGGGTGTGTGTTTGTGTGGCAGGGGTCGCATTCGGCAGCTGTCTAGAGGGACAGGATGTTGTCGCGCGCGCGGCGGGGGGTGTGCGAAATCGTGGCAGGCGCAGCACTTTGGCGATGCCGTTGCGAAATCGTGGCAGGCGCAGCACTTTGGCGATGCCGTTGCCGAAGTCGTGGCAGGCGCAGCATTCTGTGCATCTGGGTGTGTGTTTGTGTGGCAGGGGTCGCATTCGGCAGCTGTCTAGAGGGACAGGATGTTGTCGCGCGCGCGGCGGGGGGTGTGCGAAATCGTGGCAGGCGCAGCACTTTGGCGATGCCGTTGCGAAATCGTGGCAGGCGCAGCACTTTGGCGATGCCGTTGCCGAAGTCGTGGCAGGCGCAGCATTCTGTGCATCTGGGTGTGTGTTTGTGTGGCAGGGGTCGCATTCGGCAGCTGTCTAGAGGGACAGGATGTTGTCGCGCGCGCGGCGGGGGGTGTGCGAAATCGTGGCAGGCGCAGCACTTTGGCGATGCCGTTGCGAAATCGTGGCAGGCGCAGCACTTTGGCGATGCCGTTGCCGAAGTCGTGGCAGGCGCAGCATTCTGTGCATCTGGGTGTGTGTTTGTGTGGCAGGGGTCGCATTCGGCAGCTGTCTAGAGGGACAGGATGTTGTCGCGCGCGCGGCGGGGGGCGTGCGAAATCGTGGCAGGCGCAGCACTTTGGCGATGCCGTTGCGAAATCGTGGCAGGCGCAGCACTTTGGCGATGCCGTTGCCGAAGTCGTGGCAGGCGCAGCATTCTGTGCATCTGGGTGTGTGTTTGTGTGGCAGGGGTCGCATTCGGCAGCTGTCTAGAGGGACAGGATGTTGTCGCGCGCGCGGCGGGGGGCGTGCGAAATCGTGGCAGGCGCAGCAGCGAAATCGTGGCAGGCGCAGCACTTTGGCGATGCCGTTGCGAAATCGTGGCAGGCGCAGCACTTTGGCGATGCCGTTGCCGAAGTCGTGGCAGGCGCAGCATTCTGTGCATCTGGGTGTGTGTTTGTGTGGCAGGGGTCGCATTCGGCAGCTGTCTAGAGGGACAGGATGTTGTCGCGCGCGCGGCGGGGGGCGTGCGAAATCGTGGCAGGCGCAGCACTTTGGCGATGCCGTTGCGAAATCGTGGCAGGCGCAGCACTTTGGCGATGCCGTTGCCGAAGTCGTGGCAGGCGCTGCATTCTGTGCATCTGGGTGCTCTGTAATCGCATCCATACAAGGGGCGCACGGTACATGTGTGTGGACATTTGAACTCACATCCTTGCGAAAAACATAGCATGTGGGGTTATCCGGTCCTTTAATTTTTTTTTTGGGGGGGGGGGGTACCATATATATATATATATATACATCTATACATATACATACACATATACATGTACGTGTGTATGTCATATCTCTTTCAAGGCGGTCGTCTCCTGAACAACAGAAAGGGTAAAGGGCGGGGAGCAGGATAAGCTTTTTGTTGGCCTTCATTTCCCGTTGGCAAGCTTTAAGCCCTTGGGCCTGCCCGTTTGCTTGGTTCTGTGCCACCACCTGCAGATGAGATGACCAAGTCTGAGGCGGCTTCAGTCACTCGCAGATTTGTGTTGAACATTCGCTATGACTGGGGAGTCCAGTGATTCCCGCAGTGCTCAAGAAAACAGACCAAGCCTATCGAAACCCATCCCGACCCAACCCAACCCCGAGACGGTTTCTTGAAGCAATGCAGCACAGGGTAGGTCCGCCGGGGACTGTCATCTACCTGGCACCTGCCTTCGGCATGTCTTTCCCATGCACGTTGCCATGCGTCAGGATGGTCCTTTGTCAACCACCTTGTTGAAAAAATGTTTGGGCCTCCCTCGAGGTATGCCAAACTTATGCCAAGAAACGCGGCAACAGGATAGCCCAAACCTGTGTCAGGGGGTCATGTAGGCAACATTCACTCACATCTGATCAGCACCGAATCCATGGGGGAGCACTCACCAAAACCTGCCGGGAGGAAGTCATGTCGTGACTGGCTCGGCCCCGCAAAAAACGCGGTGCTTGTTCTGATCACTGCCTTCCTACTCCTTACAAGAACGCAGGGAGCATATGCGTCAAAGCTGTGCACCCCTGCTCAGTTTCACCTTGCCGTTGGAAACAGCCGCCCAAAAGGTCCCAGGCGGTTTGACACATTCGATCCAGTGGCACAGTCTTCCTTTTCCTGTGCGTTTCCCTCGCCAAGATATTTGGGTGACACTCGATCCCTTCCGCTGTTTCAGTTGATTCTCGATATCCAATCATTCTCGGTCACACATTTTATTTCACACGCCCCTGTTTTGCATGGGTGATGGTTGCATTCGATAATCCAGTGGAATCGGACTCCAAAAGAACACCTGAGCAGCACCCGAATCCCCCATTCGTTTTAGACGGGGTTCTGCCTGGTTTGACAGGTGTTGTTTGCTGCTTCAAAACAAGGCCGTGTGGATGTTGCATCTTATTGGTGTCCATATGGCTGTGGGTCAAAACCAATCGTACCATTTTGGGGTAGGTGCACCACCCATTTTAGTCCATTTTAGTGGGGATTGGGATGTTCACTGGGGGTACGATTTGAATTTTGGAAAGCCCATGGCCATATGACTTAAGGGGCTACACAAAGTTACAAAGCTCTAGCCTCTGATCATACCAAACGCCAAACCTTTAAGGCCGCCAAGAAGGCAGAGGCCCACGAGACCTTGCTGGAGACCATGCAGCGCCTCCGACCCATTCGGGGCTTTTGGGCTGGGACTTCATGAGAAGGGGCGAAAGAAGTCGCTGGTGCGAGAAGTAGGGAATGAGGGAATGAACCTGGGGATGCCCTTAAAGGAAAGCATAGGGGATGGTGTATAGGGGGGTCATTCCCTCATTCCCTACTGAGCACCAGCAAGATAAGTAGGGGAACAAGAAGTCCGGGATGATTCATCTCACTATCATAGGGAGCTAAGGAGCCCCAAGTACCACCAACATCACTAGGCAGACTCCACACACTATCGTCCTATGACCATGCCAAAGTTTGCTTCAATCTTCACACCATGCTGATTATTTGGGACCTTACAGCAAATGGGGTTGTCTAAACATGGGATGTAGGTCTGCCGAATACGGATCCCGCACAATTGAACAACGTTTAAAACAATATCCAAAGGAAACGTCACCTAATTTTGATAAACACCCGGTGGACCCCCAAATGGGGCTTTGCTTTCCCCAAGCTATCCCACAAAGGGTACCAACTCCAGAAGAGACACTCCCCCGCATGTCCAAGTATGTCAGAGTGATTTGCACGTTTTGGGGCCGGTATACTTGCGGAGAAACAAAGATAAGGCACAGCCAACTGGTATGGTGCAACTGTTTGAGACGTGAGTTGGCGGGAACAACGTCCGATTGCTGGACTTGCCATCAGGTGAAGTCAACTTTGTTTCAGTGATGTCGAGAGCCTGTCATGGGAGCATCCAGCGCAGCGCACCAAATACACCAACGTGGTCTCAGATTTGTTCAGCAGTATACGGTCGGAGGGACATGGTTGGGACTCAGACATGTTCCCACCAAATTGAGCAGGAAACTAAACATCCTGACAGTGCCGCTGCTGAAACTCAGCCTGGTTTGCTGATCCCTGCGACTCGGATGATCCCACCTGTGGCTTGATGAAGCTGGATACCTGGAATCTCCCCATGTAATTCATGTCTTCCGAATGCTCCCTGATGAAGAATCACATACACACACAGACATTTTAAAGCGACCCAAGGTTGGTCTCACAGAAAGATGAGTCGGACACATCAGCAAAAAGGACAAGGGTTGACACCACTTTCGATTCCTTGAACAGGTTGTGACTTTTGATGTGATTCGTGGGGCATGTTGGGGACATTTTGAGTCCCCTAAGATGGTTGGCGTCCTTTACTTTCCCTTTGAATACCAACCAAGAGGGGTCCCCCAGTTCCGTTTACCTCATGAAAGATTGCTTGAATCCTGGATGTGGCCAGGGCTCGGCAGGCCAAGCGAGACAAACAGGCGAGCGTGGGTTGCGGAAGACGCTGGGTCTCCGCGGTTCAGACGGATCTTGACGGCGTTGGTTTTCGAATGGGACGTGTTAGGTGGATGTTTCGCACATGAATTCCAATTGAGATCTTGTGTAAACGTATCTTCGATCCAGTCAACACTGGGCCTCCCTCGGTTTTTACAGGCTTGAAGCCATGAAGCAAGCTCTGTCTGCTACCTTGGACACTTTGTTTCTCCCCGGCTCCGGGGGCATCACTGAGGGGCAAAAACGGTTGTTCTGTCTTGGGTAGTTGTAATGACCTCACAAAGGGGATTCGTGACAGAAAACCTAGACGAACCGTTTTGGTCCCTTCAAACGGCCGGTTCACGTATGTGTTTCCAGGGCCACAGGTCGCAACAAGCGCGACCATTGCAGATCATAGCAAGCCAGACACATGTTTACACAGCGACTCATCCCTTCGAAAGGTTTAGCTGCGCAAGCTGAAGACCGAACACCCACCCGTCAAGTGATAAGCACTTCGGCCCCACTGCGCACGCTCAACACAGAACTCTTGCCTGCCAAATGACAACCACACTCTTTCTACTGCGCATGCTTTCGACTGAACACCTGCTCTCCAAATGACAAGCACATCAGCGCATGCTCACAACTTGAACACCCGATTGCCGACTAATATGCACACCCGCTGTACTGCACACACACACACAACTGAACACCCGCCTGCTATATGATAAACACATCCACCCTGCAGCGCATGTTCAGGACCAACCACCTGCCTGCCAAATGACAAACACACACCTTACAGCAATCATCGATTCACCTTACCTGCATGCATAGCTGAAGCTGACGATGTCGGAGACAAATTCACTCGAACATGCTATGTTTCCCCGGGAGAACTGCTTGGCATGCTGCACACCACTAGACTGTCTTGAGTGCATGCGGTTATTTCAGGTTGGCGAACTCTTATATAAGTTCAACTGAGTCCAATCTCTTCGGTAATTTTCTCAGCAACTGCTTCTACATCTACTGTATTTAATCGAGCGTAGACTGTCCATCGTTTTTTTGCGTCCGCGGCCGTCGCTCCGCACCGTCTCTTTGTCTGCGTGCGAAGACTTTGGAGAGACTTGCCTTGCTCAGCCCCCACACGTGTGCAACCTGGGGTTTGGAGGCGCAGAACCCTGGGAAACATGCATTTTGCCCGTGAAGCCAGCCTGATCGCGCCTTCCGGGTGCCTTCTGCGGCCGACGAAAGTGCTGTATCATCAATGCATTTTGCTTGTCTCATGCAACCATGAGTGGGCAGCAGACAGACGACGGCTTGATTTGCTTGTGAATTCGTTCATTCAAGTAGAGCACTTGACATGACAGGCCTTGGACATTCGGAATTCGAGTTTCGGATTTGGAGCGGTTCCTTTGATATGAGTTCTGTCTAGTTCAAAGCCTCAACCGTATGCAAGGCATGATGCATAGAGAGGCCCTTTCGATGCATGCACATCTTACAGTACACTCAGTACACCTGCGTGCTTCGTAGGGCAAGATGTTTGCCGCGGAGCCGAAGTGTGGAGACCACTGGTGCCATGGAGCGCCAAATTATGTTGGTTTCATGATGAGACATCAAGGCAACGCGCGCCATCAGCAGGCATTTCCTACTTGCGGCGCCTTTCATTTTGCGACGACTGCAGGGAGAAGCGCTGAAGAAAGAGGTCCTCGTACAGAAGCAGGACTCGCATGGTGGACGCTGGAACCATTGTGGGATGGTTTGCCTGAAGCGGCGGGGACACACTCAGCTAGCTGCACGAAGCAACAGACAGATTTCAGTCTCTCCCATGCAAAAAAAGAGACATGCCAACCATGTTTGAGTGTATCATTCCTCGCTTTTGGACCCTGGTTCCTTGGCCAATTCGGATATCTTTGAGAGTGACTTTTAGCTGGCTTGAAGTAAGCAATCAACCCTACTCCCTCTTACATGTCGGCTGCGTTTTGATTCTCTCGAGGGCCTTCCTTCGCATGTCCTGACCCTGTTGTCCTCTGGCCCGTCACCTCAACTGCTGCAGCACGGTCTATCGCTGAAGCCCAGCAAGTGGTGGACATCACTTGCTTGGGCCAGGTAGGTCGCGTGGCTTTCGTTCACTTGCTCGTTGTCAAGCAGGTAATTATGGGTGAGTGAAAAGCGTGGGTCAAAGCAGTGATACAAGTCCTGGCTCTCCTTCTAGCAGCTGGGACCTTCTAGCAGCTGGGACGGGATTGGCTGGGCCAAAGAGAATCCGACGCCAGGATCAGAGGAAGGTGATGAAAAAACTCCACGAGTCCTTCAAGAAGGTGCGAAGCCCTGGTGCTTTTCTCGCCAGAGTTTAGGCCCACTGGAAGGGCCAGGAATTCATTTCAGCATCGAACTCCAACAGCTACCATTGATACTGGGAGGCAGGACACTTTGTTGCTTTGAGGTTTTGGTATGCGTCAATGAGGCGCTCGAGGTCTCGGGGCTGTCAGGAGTAGAAGCCACCCCTTCTCAAGGCACTAGGAAACCAGTGTCCCGAGAACCGATTGTCTAAACCAAGCTTGGAGCCTTAAGACGTTGCAGGTGGAGGAGCACCAGCAAGAGACCTTGGAGAAATGGGAGCAGGCTCACTCGAACGTGCGCGCATCGTCCGAATTGGACGTCAAGAGTTGCGCCTGACAACTTGGGTGTTGGATTTGCCCGCCTGAAGCTTCCTGCCTCGGCATGTGGCTAAAGCATTCAGAAGCCGTGAGTTCATTTCTTTTTGTTGTTGGTTTGGCAAGCTAAATCTGACTTTTGGACCGCGCTAGTGGGTGTGTATTGTTGTTTGGCTCAGAATTCCAAATGTTTCACGTTGGCTTCCTTGTAACTTCCCCCAACTGGGAGGGGCACCTTGCTTCGAGGCATTTCCACATGTGAATGGGCATAATTAGTGTGGTTTGCTCCTGAAACCACCACTAAGAATGTGTTACTGGGACAGAGGGTCCAGCAGTCCCTTGTGTTGTTCTTTTCCTCGGAATTGCTTGCCTGACTCTCCGCGCTCGTTTTGGTAGCCCTTGATCGGTCAAACCACCAGACTTCACGGGAAGACGGGGGAAAACCACGGAAGAGCACAGGACGAAGGGACGACCACGGCCAGGTGAAAGAGGTGCGGCACGAGAAGATCCAGCTCGTGCACGAGCGCCGGGAGCACTTCCTGATCAGGGAACAGGAGGAGGGAATGAACGGAAGTATCAAGGGTATCCCAAAAGCATGGAACCTGAAAGGGTCCGTGTCAAAATCAAAGAAAGGGTCTTGAATGCCATTTTCAGGCTCCATGTTTGTTGGGAGGCCCCCCACCCGCGCAATTCGCCCATATATGGGGAATGTAGTGGGATTGAGCCAGCAAAACACATGCTGATCGCCTCATCTAAAATGACTGACACCTAACACCTGACACCTGCCGCAAGTTGAGTTCAGTCAACCTACTTTCCTCTTTGCTTGGCCTTGGATGGCTGGACATGTTAGACTTGTGCGAGGTGCACGCCCCGGCCTCTGAGGATCGATTTTCACCAGCACCATGCAACAGAATGCTTCTCAAGATGCAATTTTGTGGTGACATGAACCTGCCAGAATGACCACAGGCCCAACAACTCCAGCTGGAACACAAGTGAAACTTCGTCACTAGAATTCTCCACCCGGTTTCTGATCTTGGAAAAATCCAAAGACATCTTAACCCCGCTTCAACACGTCACAGACAAAAGCCGGCTTGAATCCTTTTGCCGCACATTTTCAGCCGTCTGTGCAACTTTGCGACCAGCCAAGAGAAACATCACACTAGTCTGCACAAAGCATCATGGAATCTAGTCGGATTCCACAATCTAAATCAGTACCCAAGTGGGTACAAGCCAAGCCCGCGCCAGTACTAGGACAAGGGGATTGATAATCATTCCCTTGCTGATAAATTCAGGGTGTCCCATTTAGAACCTTCACGTTTGGGGAAATCCCCTAGGCAAAAAACATACACAGTTCCCTGATGTCTTAGAGGGGGTTCTGATCGAAGGGTTATGATCACCTTTTGGGCAGTCGTCGCCTTAGAACCTTTGTCTTGGCAACCTATTGTTGCGCAAAAAAATGCATTTGCCCTGAGTATCTCCATTCGGTGTAGAGATAGATCAGGCTGGTGTGCCTTCTTGGTGTGCATGTGTGTGTGTGTGTGTTTGTTTTTTTCTCTTTTTTTTTTTTCTCGGTTTGTTCTTGTGTGTGTGTGTGTGTGTCTCTCTCTCTCTCTCTCTCTGTGCGTGCGTGCGTGTTTTTGGTTTTGTTCTTGTTTGTGCGTGTGTGTGTGTGTGTGTGTGTGTGTGGTTGTTTGCTTGTTTGTTTGTTTGTTTGTTTGTTTGTTTGTTTGTGTGTCTGTGTGTCTGTGTGTCTGTGTGTTTGTGTGTTTGTGTGTGTGTGTGTGCAACCGACCAATGGAACATGAGGGAGTCGTGGAGTTTTCATATAAGAGATTCATACTATCTAACCACTTGCAATAAATTCAACCTGACACTGAATGAAGCCTTCGCGTGGCCCACTGCTCCCCACGCCCTCCCACAGCCGCCAGGCCCCATCGATTCGTTTGTTTGCCTATCGGCCATCCGGTGAGTCGGCTGAGACGGTTTGCCTTTTGTTACCGGAATTCGATAGGACTTGGTGGAGAAGTACCTGGAAAAGGCGCCGCACGAAAGCCCGCACGGGGCTGGATGGATTGGGATGGCTGGTGCGGAATGTGTCTGTTGGTCTATGTAAGGAGGTTTGAGGGAATCGATTGCTCCAACAAAACGGCACTTTGCCTGAAATGGCTTGCAGAGAGCCCCCAACTGGTTTCCCTTGGCTTCATTTTGAGACAATCATAAAACGTGTACTCCCAAAAACGACACACCGACATCTCTGCAGTGGGCTTTTTCCTTCGCCATTGAGCATGCAGCCAGAGCTCCAACCCAGTGCGTCTGAATGCAGCATGGCCACATTTTGGCGCTTTTGGCCGATTTCAAACGGGAAACGAAAGGAAACCAACCGCAAGGAGAAGTCCCTAGTTTTGACACTGCCACCGAATGTTGGCTTCGTAGGAGCAGTACATCGAGGAGCGACTGGCCGCCAAGCGCGATGGGGCCCTAGCATGTGGCTCGTGAGTCGTCGGATATGTTGGGGCAGAGGCAAGCTTTGTGTGTTGAAATTATATCATGGTCGAAGAGCAATGCACCGGCCAGTTTTAATCAAGTTGTTTACTCGGGATAAAACTGGAGTACCATTCCAATCAGGGGTGGCAATCCCCTGTTAGCGGGAATTAGTTCCCTTGCGAGGAGGTTCCCCCGATTCTGTATAGTGCTCGTCTCAATCCGAAGCTAACTTCATCCATCGAACCTCAAGGAGAGCACGCGGTTTCAGCCTCGCTTTTCCAGGGAGAGCACGTGATTTGCACCTTGCGGCAATCTGGGGGATTTCTTGCCATTTTCTCCCGTGGGCAATGATCGACACCTTTCAGTGCTTTGAAGTCTGAGGGCTACTTTTGAGCACACAATACCCGCCGAATTCCTTGCAGGCTTTTGCCTGGGGTCTTTGTTGATATCTTGTTAGAGGTTCGTACTAAATATGAACAAATCAAAACACCTGATGCTTAGTTGGCAAAAGGGTGACGTAGTTGCCCTCAAGAGGCTTGCAACTTGTTTCGTTAGCCTGACAGAAGACATGTCGCACCTTACAACGAACACGAAGCAATTTGGATGTGTGTGTTTTTTGAGGGTACACCTTTCAGCTTGGTTTAAAGCAAAACCGAAAGGGACATGTCCATTTCACCTTGCGACCCTTTTGTTGTGTTTTATGTCCTGGCCTGTTCCGATTTTCGTGAAAGAGCCCACTTTCACACAGACAAGCGAAGCATCGATCGAAGTGCCTCGATCTAAGGAGAAGGAGAGGCAGCGAGCTCTCAAGGGCGAGGAGGAGTACTTGGTCCGTGCCCCCAGAGCCTGTCTTGTCTTGAAACAGGGGTTCAACCTATCAAAAAGTTTGGTTTCCAACCCAACTCAACACAACCCAGCCCAGCCCAAACCAAACCCAACCCACCCACCCACCCGCCCACCCACCCACCCACCCACCCGCCCAAAGGGGAACTCGCGCACGGCACCGCGGATCCTTTTGCTTTGGATGGTTTGCAACGAAACAACGCCGACCACCAGTCGAAGGGGCTCTGTACTTTGACTTATCAATGGGAGGCCGGGAACCTGCGAACGAGAGGCATAGGATCTGCTCAGAGGCACTGGCCATGCCAAATGAACCCCCGCGGGATTGCCCGCAGGCAGCTTTTTGCCCTCAAAACCTCTAACGGACTGTTTTTTTTGAATGTGGATCTTCCACGGCCTGCAATGGAATGCATCTATTTGTGTGTGTGTGTGTGTGTGTGTGTGTGTGTGTGTGTGTGTCTGTTTGTGTGTGTGTCTGTGTGTGTGTCTGTGTTTGTCTGTGTTTGTCTGTTTTTGTGTCTGTGTTTGTGTCTGTGTCTGTGTCTGTGTCTGTGTCTGTGTCTGTGTGTGTGTGGGTTTGCGTTTGCGTTTGCGTTTGTGTTTGTGCTTTAGTGTTCGTTGGCATGTTCCGGAACACGAGTTGAGGGGAAGGGGGTTGGTGTGTATACGTACTTTACTTGTGTACAGAACTTGCGTTCATGCGAGCTTTTCTGGCACAGGCCAATGCAGCCTTATTTGTGCGATGTCGAATCAATCTCAGCAGCCTTTGCCCTCCCTACGGAGATGTCGGGCACATCAAGGGTTTGGGCGCAGTCCCAAGGAGAAGTTGGAGAAGTCGCTGCGCCTGATCGAGGCACGGAGAGCGAATGCCTAGCAGCTGTACATTCAGCGTCCAGAAACCAATCGTGGAACAGCACCCGCGGAAGAAGATCCCTTTGCTTTGGGACAACAACATATACACTTATCAGTGTTTCAGATGGTTCCTGAGGCACATTATGGGCATGTTTGAATGGGCAAAGGCTGAGTGAAGCTTGCATTACATAGTTACTTAGAGAGATGGAGAGGATGGAGAAGTCGGGCGCCCGCCCCCTGTTATCCTGTAGCAAGGGCCCGGAGTGCAGCTTGAATTCAGGGAGCCTTCATTTTGACCAATGAACCTCTTTGCCCACATCCTTGCTTGCCACCCAGCCTTGGAGAGTTCCTTTTAAGGGCGTCTGGATTGCCGCCTGGAAGCCTTCCGTTACTCGTCCCAAATACTTTGCTGGTTGCCGTTGCTTAGTCATGACTGGACCTTCTGATCACGAGAGCGTTAAATTGCATGGGCATCTGGGGTCACTCCAGATTCTGCACGAAAACCCAGTTTGGCAGTGCCGCGCATTTTGTGCCTTGGTCCAGGATGTCGGTGATGCGGGGTGCCCTGTAAACCCATCTTTTTTGACTGGGTGCGGCTCTGCAAGGTGCGACAAGGCTCGCTGGGCAGGGTCTATGAGACTTGATCCGGGAGCTTCGTGAGGCGGAGCAGCAGAAGAAAGAGGCAGACTTCCAGGAAGCGCTGGAGAGACGCCGTCTCAGAGATCCGGGCCTAGGGCGAGGGCTTTCCCGGGGCGATGCTGAAACAAAGCAGGACGCGGGCAGCTGGTTATATACTATATATATATATATATTATAATATACATATATACATATATATATATATATAATATATGTATATATATATATATATATATACTGCACAAGCTGCATGTGGGACGAAACGAGTGAGGGCATGAGCTGAGCTCCGGCGCCAGCTTACACCTGACGCGCGCTGGCTAGACCTTGGCTAGCCTTTACCAGCAACGGGGACAATGCAATGGCTGGAGTGGTTGTCTTGGTAGCCTCACCCAAACCATGTTCGATTGACAGTCTAGATGACTGGCCATGACCAAAGCGTTTGAGTAAGCCCAAACACCCAATGATCCCAGCACCTAAATCTCGCCAAATACCCCGAGCCACCCAATCCCGCTCCGACCTTGGCACAGCCCCCAAAATAACCAAGCATCACGCCAGCCGGCGAAGTGGCGCCATGCCCCGCTTATTGCTCCTTTTGTCTCTGATCTGGATCCTGGCGTTTTCAGAGGAGCTTCAAACATATATGTGTGTGTGCCTTGAGGGTGCTTTTCTTCGTCTTCGTTGCAGAAGGCGCCAAAGGGACCTCCCCAATGTGTGTGGGTCCCTTCCTCGTTTGACCCCATGTACCGGCTTGGGAAGCCCAGGGCAAAGGAAGGGCCGGGAGAAGGTGCAAAGGGCCAAGGAGGAAAAGACGATCGAGGCGCGGCGCCTTCGCGTGGCTGTGGGCCGGGCGGGGTGGGGCGGCGGCGCCCGCGGTTCCCGCGCTCCGCTTCTCGAGGTCCACGAGGCCCTCGAGAAGCGCTTCGAGAAGCGAGATGCGGCGGGGGTCCTAGGGTGCGGGGGGAGGGTGGGTCCAGGGTCCAGGGTGCGTGTGTGTCAGTGTTTCACATGACTGGTCAAAGACGCATTTGTAGTATGTACGTTAGGATATATGTCGCTACTGGCGCCTGAGGTTGTGTGTGTGAGAGTGTGCGTGTGTGTGTTTTCCTTTTTACCCTCCCCCAATAGATTCCATGGAACCTCCCAAAACCTCCTTGGCAGACTTGGCTTCATTTACAGTGCTCGTGTGCAAAGGGCCGCAAACTCAAAAGGGCCTTGTCTGACCGTCTTTTGGCCAAGAAAAAGACACTAAAGCTTTGTTCCTCTCATCCTTCCAGAAGCATCATCCTTCCAGAAACAACATAGCAGAAGCATGTATCGAAAGAAACATTTACTAAGGCTGCAAAGTGGCAGCGCAATGCACTCACGCCATGATTTGGTAGCATTTGCTGGCTGAAGACATGCAGGGCGGACCCTAAGAACAATTCTAGGCGACAGGCCTTTCAGTCTGTGGCAACGAGAGAGGTTACATGTACATTTGGCTGTGTGCCAAAATTGAGGGCTTGGTCTTCCGGCATTTGCTTTGGCCATTGCTTTGAGGGCGCATGACCTCGGCCAAAACCAAATTTGAAACCACAACCCTCGCCAAGTATGGCGACAGAAGTCTAGCCACCTCACTAGTGAACTGACCTAGGCCTTGGCCGAACCCTTTTGCCACCAGAAACTCACAATCTTGCCATGTGTCGGGAAGTCCTGAAGGCGCGTGCCGGCAAATCAGAGGGGCTGAGAATCAGGCTCCCGCAAATGGTTGGTTCACCTTCGTTTCTCTTGAAGCAGCCAAACAAGCGGGGTGTTCCCATTTCGGGTGTTGCCCGAGCGATTCGCAGAGGTCTTAGGCATCGAGCGGAAGAACAAGCTGGTGAAGAAGCGAGAGGCAAACAGCTGCCCATGCATGAGCCGCACTGCACCGCTTGCAGCGTTCTCCTCGGTGTGGTTTTCAGGGGGGGTCTGGGTGGCTGAGACCCAAACTCCCAGCGAGGCGCTGGGAAGAGAGGGCTCCAACTTCCGCTGGAGCTGCATCTTTAATCCACTTCGCGCTACAAAGCAGCACACTGGAGAAGTTGTTGCACTGCAGGCCAATGGTATCAAAGAACACGGATTTCGAATGAGCTCAGTAGGGAAGACACATGATTCTGGGGACTGTTTGGCAATCGTTTGTCAATGATTTTGTCCAGCCTGCTCATTGCGGCATGCTTCGCAACATGCTGTTCTTCTTTTTTCTTTTTTTTGCGACCGCAGCTGCTGTTTCATGTAGCAGACTCTAGCCTTTGCTTGCTCTTTGCAATCCCAGCGGCCAGCAATCGTAGAATGACACATGTACTGAGATACACGTCGCCGCGGTACAATACATGTGACAAGGATGCTTGAGATGCTTTTATTGACGAGAACCTGACCAAACCAGCCCTGCACTCCCTCCCCCACAAAGGGCAAAGGGCGTCGCAGAGAGAAATGGAGGATGGGCATTCAAGCAACATGCGATTTCAGAGTCAAAACCTCCACCAGCAGCGACTCGTATTGGAGTGGTGGTCATACTCTGATGAGAACTAACAGGAGAATACAAATCGGGGATACCAACGGGGATTGCTTTTTGAGGATTTCCCTTCGCAATCAACTGCCAACAAAAGAGACCGTCTTCCAGGGAGCCCTGCTTTCCCCGTGGAAAACCACGGGAGGTCTGAGTGTTCGCTTGAGGCCGTCTTTAAACAAATTTTTGCGGATCGAGCCGCACGGGCATCGGGATATGCTTTGCTCTGTGCGAACTTTGAAACCAAGAAACATGGCTTGCTTCAACATGGGGGAACCAACAACACCGGTGGCTTCCCCTTAGCTTCCCGGTAAACCTCAAAAGTCAAAGCTAAGACAGACATCCACATCTCGCCTGGCGGCTGGAGTCCTCGCCTTCCTGCCTTCACAGCACTTGGCCGACAGACCATCGCCAAGCTCAAGACGGTCCTGGGGCCCCAGTCGCCCAATAGGCCAGGAATCAAGACTCGCGCGTGTTGAATCTTTGACCTGGTTGTAAAAGCAATCCGACTTCTTGATTCAAAGTCCGTCGGATGTGCTGCATTTCGGGAAGGTGAATTACAAAGTCTTGCACATCCAAACACACCCAGATTTTGTGTTGAGGTTCCTTCCTTTGTGGCAGTGGCGATTGATCAGTTCTCGTCCCACATGAGCTCGAGGCCACAGCTTTCCAGTTGAAGATCACGTTAAACTCACCTCTTTCCTTTGTAGGCCAGACCTCGCATTGGGAATGTTTCAAGGGGCAAAGTGGAAACCTGATTTAACCAGAGAATCAGGAACGCAGCGCATGGGAAATGAGCTTTTGGCGATGGTCGTGTGTGTGTGTAGCCAAAAGACAGACTTGCTTACTCGGGGCTTAACGGAGTCAGCAGCTCCGGAGGAATATTTGCCCCTGTCAAGGCTTCCCTTTCCAGGGAACCATCTGAGAAGGAGCTTGACCTTGGCACCAAGCAGACATATTAGAACTATTGGGACTAGGCACCCTGCCGGGCTTCCCTGAGTTTTCGCGTGTTTCTGCGCTTGTGATCTCGACTGGTCGTACAGGATGGCATATATTGAGGGCGAGAGCCGCCGGAGGATTGAGCAGCCGGGGGCCCGAGTCTCTCTATTCTGTGCTTTGGGAAGCTCTGGCTCTTCACTTTTGGACGTGAAACATGGCAGTTTGTGAAAAGTGAGGTTTCAGATGATCCCTACAACCAATGAACTAAGCCAGGAGGGGAAAGGGGGGACACACTTATCAAGGGCTGGTAACCATGGTAGACAAGGTGGTAGAGAAGGCTTGCTCAATTCCGGCTTCTGAGTCTATTCCTTTCGAGTCTTGGAACGAGTCTGTGGCCCTAGGATTGATTGCCTACTTCCGACCCATTTGGGCACATGTTGAACCGGGGTCTTTCCGCCTTTTCCCAGAAGCATCTCTGGTGCTTGGGTTCTTTAGGTTTTGACTGAAGGGGAGACGCGCGGCCCGGATCGGTGCTGGGAGTTTGGGAACGGTCCCCAGAAAGTGTGCGATAGTGCTCCCGGGAAGCCCGCAAACAAGCGAGAACGGTCATGGAAGGTGACAGACCGAGGCTCCATATTTGCCGCAGGAACAGGATTGCCCTGCTGTTCAAAACAAGCCTTGGCCCTCATGAGGTAAAACTGGCCTGTCTCCACTTGTTTCAAGTTGAAACATTTGGCCTCCTTACGGTACTGTGTTGAAACGCGGACGCTCCCTGTTCCCCTCCTAATGTGGCCATTATTGGTTTCCTCAAGCCGCTATCCCAATCCCTTTTGACTAGATGGTTATTGACGAGCTTGGCCAAGTGCTTCGCATAGGTTCTGAGTACGCAGGCATCCCTGTTTCACCTTGTTGGATAGTTGGCACTTGGCGATGACAACTCACAATCTCGAACGTAGGAGTCCCTGAGCCTTTGCCCAGCATGCAGCGGAATCCCCTCGGGAGGAGGAACATTTGTGGAGCATTTGGGGAGGGTGCATTGACACTTTGCTGTGTTTGACGCATATTCATGATGTGTTTTGCGTAACTTATGGTGACCTCGCAAAATTAGGTTTGGTTTGCGACCCCCGCCGGCGTTGGGATTCCTCAGTTCATGTTCGTGACATGAAGCGTGCTTTGCCCAGGTGTGTGGGGTTTGTCTCCAAACGAAGCCTGCAAATCGAGACGGAACTCCAAAACAGGAACCAAGCCTGTGTACTACTAACAAACATGGTCTGGTGCACAATTGCCCCTCTTTCAAAGGGAAAGGTTTTAGTCTTGCCAAATGGGATCGAACGCACGCAAGCCCTTGGTGGCACTCTCGAAGTTGGAAACCCGCGATGTTTGTTGGTGCATTTGTCTCATCTTGCACCAATGAATAGACAACATCCTGCGCCAGTTGCGATGGATGCAGCCATGAATACTGGGATCCACCCATTGCCAGCCGCTGCGGAGTGGATTTTGTCGGTAGGGTCAAGAATTCTTCAGGCGAGAGGTCATCGATGAGCTGGTGCAGCAGAACCGGGAGCGGAATCACCGTTCGGGCGCCCAGAGAGGACCTGACCCGTACCTTGCCAGGGCAAGGCGTCGGGCAACAATTTCCTTCGGTGTAGAATCATTTGGAAAGGGGTCTTTAACAAAGGATTTGCGTTGTTTTGGGGCTTGCAGCAGGGTCCAACTAGATTTCCCATAGGCCGTTTGTGGCAAGTCTCAAGATGAGTTGGACTGCTTGAGGCGATTGGTTTCCTTTTGGCTTTCCTTGGAAGCCAGTATGTATTAGAAGCATTCTCCGCGTGTTTTCTGATGCATTCTGGTTTGGAAGGGTTTTGAGTTGGGGATTTAGCTTGATCATAGTCTTCTGCCGCGGAACTATTTAGCTTTCCTTCGTCCTGTTGGCAGCCCATGTTGTTCGCGAGCTGAGGGTAGAAGCCCGGCTTAGTGTCAAATTGACAGGTGGTTAGTCGAATTTAGCTTCCGGGTCTATTGAAACTGCCAAACAAGAGTCGCTTGAGGTCTCGGACTGCTCTTTTGCTTGTTGTTCCTCGCCCCTTGAGACCTATGCATCACCGTTTTGGTCAGGGCGAGTCTTGCCAGCTCTGGCTGAGGTGCCGAGGACTTCACCCGGGAACTGCTTCTGGCGAGGCTCGTTTTGGCTCCAGCAGGTGTCATGCGGAAAACGGTTGGCAGCACCCAGCCTCTCGTGATTTGCCTAGGTTGTCCTTTAGTCTTGCATGCGAGAATTCACAACCGTTTGCCTCCAAATTATTGTCACCAGCATTGGCAAGAACAGCTTCTTGTAAGGTGGGGCACTTTGCATAGATACAATGATGCAATGTAGAGACATTTGACAGTCTGCTGCTTTAGACACTTTTGATGCATCCAGATGCATTGGATGCGCCAGATGCATTGGACACTATGGATAACTATGATAACTTAAGAGACTTTAGACACTCAGCCGCTAGACAATATATAAAATCTATATTTATATGTATATCAGTACGTAGACACCACAATACCATGTTCTTTACATGACAACAAACAACAGACAGATGGCCAAAGCAACACATCTCAGACAATCTGATCAATAGGCATGACTGGCCAGTCCGTGTATCCACTGTAGAGTATGGCCTGCCTGATTGACCAGAGGTAGCAGCAAGGACAACGTGATGGCTACCCGCACGTCGTGCGCGCAGCGCACACACAAATTAGTTTCAGTGCTTGATCAAAGCACTCTCAATTTTGCTTTTTCCCAACCCGACCCTCGTGCGGCGCACGCAAAGACACGGGGCTGGAGGATTGAGGAGAACAACGCCAAGGTGGACAGACGGCAAGAGGAGAAGATGCTGATGCTGAATCAGCCGGGGGCCAAGTGCTTTGTTTAGGAAGTCCCACAAGTTTGGGCGTTTGGCTTGGCTTAGCCTTGCAGGTTTTGTTGGGGCTTTTACTGGCCCGTTGGACCATTCGCAAAGCCATCGGAAAATTTAGGGAGAGCCCTTGCCTTGGCAGCTGCAATCTGCCTGTGACATCCCACTGGCGAAAGAATGGTGTTTGTCACTAAATTGGGGGCACTAAAATTGGCGGTTTCCCTTTGGTGTCCCTTTGCAACTATACCCCGAATTAAGCTATAGAAGTGGAACGAGGAAGCAATAGAGTGGAAGAGAGGAAGCTTTAGGAGGGGAAGAAAGCTATACAAGGAAATACAGGAAGGGAGTGTTTTTTTTTTGGGGGGGGGAAGGGGGGTTGAAGAGCTGGAGTCCTAGCCATGGTTGCATCACTTTTTGGCATGCGCGGTGTCAGGCCTGCTTCCTGGTTTGATGAGAGCTGTAAGCAGGTTCAAAATCAGGAGCAGGGACATTTGCATGGCTCACTCGCCTGGATCCTGAACTCAATTTTGCGGGCCACCTGTTCTCGGGTTGGGGTAACAGGTTTCTGAGCATTTCTGTGTCCAACACGCCGTCTGTTGTCGGACATCCAGAAAGGGTCACCTGGGTATGGGTCAAAATTAAACGAGCAGGGGACCGCAGGTTTTAGTCATTCGTTCGATTTACCAGGGTTCCGTTTTGGGTACCGTTTTTTTACCCACAGCCACCTATTCTGAGAGAGAACCGTAGAGGCCATGCGACGTCTGGAGCGATGTCGAGGCGCGCGGCGGTGCTGAAGGAGGCCATGTGCGAGAAGGCGCGGGTCCACGACGAGCTGCGCACCATGAAGGCCGGGCTGCGGGTTCCTTTTTTGTTTTTTAAATGTGGGGGGTGGGTCAAAACCAATGGTGCCGTTTTGGGGTAGGTGCACCACCCATTTTAGCCTATTTTGGTGGGGATTGGGATCTTCACTGAGGGTACGGGATTTTGACCCGCGGCCATGTGGGGATGTGTTTGTTGGGTGCCATTTGTTTGGGCGGTTTGAAGGGAAATTAAAAGGACAGCCGCCATTTTGAGCCCCATTTTGAGGGCTATGCATGATACTCATGTGTTCAGGTATACCTATGTGCTTTCTACGGGTTTCCTTTTGGTGTCCTTTTAAGCAGTACCCGGAAGGGTCCCTACAGTTTGCACATCGACATGTTTGTTGAATGGAACTTGGGCGTGGTTCCCGAGTTTTGGAGGGTCGTCTTTTGGAGTTGGTGCCTGTTTGGGGTGGTTGAAAGCGATATCAAGGGGATACCACCCAATCTGGGGAATTGAAATCGGTCGACACAAAGGTGTTGTTTGCGCCCGATTCTCCCCATGTTGGCTCCTTTCTTGGGGGGCGGTCTTTTGCAACGTGTGAAACAGTACAGGATATTGCGCATGGGTTTGAAGGGAACCTTGGGGCAAGGGACAGCAGCTTGCGGGAGGTTCACCGAACAAGAACAGCCAATCCCTTCATTGGGGTGCTAAATCACGATAACGTCCAAGTATGCAATACGACATGTTGGTGATGTCTTTTGCTGGGAACCTCCTTTTGGAGAGCGAAACCACGAGGGGCCAAGCAAATTATAGGGCACTCCCATCGGACGAGGCACGGCTCCCAATCACGAGAAGGAGCCTCACAGCAGAGTCGTCTAGGAGGGTCCTGCGTCCTCGATTTTTGAGGTACCCTTCCGTCTAACATGGGAACCCATCTAGACAATCCCTGGTTTTAGAGGAAACCATCTTCCAGGGTTCCGAGTTAGGTTCCATGTTAGAGGATTGGAGGGTTCTGAACTGTCGCAAGCCTCTTCTAAGAGCCATACATAGATCACAGTAGCAGGATTGTGGTAGCTTGGCCAAACTCGTTCTGATTCGGTCTCTGCTGGTAACGCCTCAAACGGGACAACCACCTGTGCGCAGGTCATTCCTGCCCCACCTCGTGAAAGCGAGGAGAAGGAGAAGGAAGCAAAGTGAGCCCGTCTGCTCCAAGGTGAGAATTGCTTCAATCCTGGCGCGCAGAAAGAGATGAGGTCAATCCAAGGGAGTCCTGATCAGTGCATTTCTTCCTGCAACAGCTAGCACTGCTGGATACCCCGGCACTAGAGATGATTAATCCCGTGGTAATTACAAGACACAAAGTTTGCGGACTTGAGCGAGCACAAGGTGGATTCCAGCAGCGCTTTGCTGGTTTTCCGGTGGCGTGTTTGTAGAAACTTGGCATGTAACTCGTTGCTCGGCTCGGGCATATGAAGCATCAAGTTGGCTTTCTGCGCTCCTGGCACCGCGGATGTGTTTCTCACTGTGGATGCTGCATTTGGCAAGTGGGAAGAGCACAACTCCCTTGATGAGATGGCCCCAGCCAGACCCACAGCCGTTGACATCATGTATATATATATATATATACACGAACTAATGCGTTCTTGGCTAACAAATGTCTTAGACCCAGATCGGTAGGCTTCGTTTGCATCTAGAACTTGCATCCACAGGGCAAGTTCCGATGATACCACAGCCAACGATTCGACAAGGGACGGGCATGGTACGCGTAGCATGCCAGGACACGTCCAGCTGATCCGTCATATGGCTTGATGGGGGTCGAGAGCAAGTTTCCAAACAAGCGATTTGAGGAGTATTTGAGGAATGACAATCTGAGGAATGGCGATCTCAGAAACGGCGATTTGATCTGATTTGATGAACGGGTTCTCTTTCGGGCCGATTTGAAGAACTGATCCTCGGGAGCAAATTCTAAGCAGGGAGCCAGCTGATCTACGGATGCCTTAGAGCGATGCATTCAAGCAACGGCAGACATCCTGGCTTGTAAGGCCCCTGTGGCAAGCTTTCCCACACTTGCAATGGCAGATGCCAGTTTAAAAAGCTTCCCCGGCTGCCAATGCAGTCGTCCTTCGCCCATATCCAGCGTGACAAGTCTTCAAAGAAGGCTGGCGCGCAATCCCCGGCCGGGCCTGTACCAATTGGTTGGTCTCAAAAGCTACAGTTGGTTACAACCCTAGCCTTTCAGGCTAATTCTTCCTTCGCCCCGGAGGAAGTGTTTATAAGATTCAAGCACCAAGATTCTGATGAGCCAAGCAAAAGGAGAAGATGCAGTCCGTGCGCGGCGTTCGGCACAAGCAACTTTCCAGGATTGCTTTGAAGGCCGCTGCCTCCTCAACTGCCCCTCACTAGCTTAAAGCTGCCGAAAAGCTGGGGATCAGTGATCTTTCGCAGTGACCCAAATTGGTGTTGCACGTTGTCACTTGGAATAAAGCTTAAGAAGCGACGGACATCGGACAATCCTTTTTTCCAACGATCATGGAAGTGGACAGGAGTCCTTTTCAAGAGGACTGTATTGTTGGAAAGAGGGTACTTCAGGTGGACTGCTAACTTGATGGAAACACACATAAGTTGTTCGGTAAAGCACTTCTCTCTCCTGTGGTGGGCAGTTCCTCTTTGAATCAACCAACAAGCAACCGCATGGGTGGCCTCTTATGCATAGCCCCAGGCAAGTAAGAACATGTACAGCCACATAGTGGCTGTATGCTCTTCTATTCGCGGTTGATTCTGCTGGTCTTAATTGGCATTTGAAGCATATGAACATGCCATTTTTAGGGCTTCCTTCTTGAGTGGTTTTATCGGGAGGCCGATTCTTCAAGCACCATAGCCAGAACGATACCCTTTTGGCTTCCATACTGATCAGCTCCCGGCTGGGCACAGAAGCTCCACAGAGAGCCATGGCTCGAATCCGATGTGGCAACCACATCAGCCTTTGCCCCTCATGGCAACCCTGGTCTCTTTTCCCTGGAGTTTCAAAGTGTTTTTGTCGAGGAAGGTTCACTTTGTCGGAGTTGGAGTCTGTCGAGGAAAGTTCACTTTGTCGGAGTTGGAGTCAACTTGTGGGAACATAGGACTAGTGCAATGCTAGTTGGTTGCTTGTTTGGCTTTGCTTTGGCCAGGCCTTATGGCTTCTAGCTCAGGGTAAATCAGTGGAGGATGGATCTAAACTGGCAGGTGTTCAATCCAAGCCACCAAATGAAGTCACGATTTGCGTTGCTCCGCATTTTCCAAGGTTGCGTAAAGCGGCTTGCGTTGATCATTCTTTCGCGGGAGAGGGGGAGAGTCCTTTGTGACAATTGACAGCTGTTTACTTGACTATGAGTTTTTATTTCAACTTTCAAATCACATCAGTGAAAGGAAGTCCACGGTTTCAGGAGAGCACCACACTCGCGACCCTGGCCGCGGGAGATCGTTCCGAAAGCGGCACCCGGATGCTTTCTTGAGCTCTCATTCAGTGATCTCCTGTGGCTGCACAAGATGTGCAGGGTCAGCTCATTATCTTCCCCTCGGCTTGTGCAGGTGGCCGGAGCGGTTGGGAAAATGGCGCTTCAGACAAGCCCTGCAGGCGTGTTGACGTGAATTCAGCTGGTTCGCCGATTTCAGACGTACGTCCCCCTGCAAGAACATATGCAAGAACACCATGTTCAGCCGGAGTACTCCTGGAGATTTACATGGCGAGCTTGTTGGTGGAGTCCTTGTTCGCGGTTTCAGTCAAGTTTTGGCGTTGGGCTTTTGTGGAGGTCTCAGCACCAACGATGCATTTAAAAAGCGACGGACATGGGGCGCTGATTTGAAAACTAATCGCTCAATATTCGGAAAACAAAAACACATCCTGTCGCGCAATACGCTCAGCTCTCGTTGCCACGCCCGCGAGCACTGTTTCAACTCATGTTTGCTTCCCTGATTTTCGCTGAGATATGCGCTGTGGTCAACCCGAAAAGGCTCAACATGAGTGCTTGCACTTTGGCTTGCCTTTGAACCACCACCAAAAAAGTGTACCATCCAGATTTGACACACCCATACCGCCGTTTTCCGCTTCATGTCTTTAGTGGTACGTCGGGGTATGTGGGGTGAACTGCTGCGGGCTCCAGCTGTTACAAGAGAACGGGAGAAAAGGGACCGGCGGTCCGGCGCCGAGGCGGGAATTTGGGTGGGGTGGGTGGGGGGTTTTGCTCCAAAGGAATGCTGACCGGATTGTCCAGGACGAATTATAGCGATGCCACTGGTTGATGTTGACATTGCTCAGGGTTCCCCGTTGAAGAATTATTACCAGAATGGTGAAAGGAGTGTTGAAAGGATGTTGAGGGCATGGCATTCAAGTTGGGCGGACCTAGAGAGGACTCCGGGTCTCAGGGGGTGATGCACATACCAAATTGGGTTGTTCTCCCCTGCACCGCACACAGATGACGGAATTTGCTACGGGAAGCACATGCTCTTGCACTCACCAGGGGTAAGTTGCGAGGTTTTGATCACGATTGCTGCAAAGAGCTTCTATCAACCAGATCTGCGGCTGTCCCTTCGTGTATGAAAGGACCAGTTTAGCATTTCCACCACTCACGCAGATCCACGTTTTGTCTTTCTCGTGAATTAGTTGTTGCGGGGGGGGGTTCTTCTGCATGCAATAAGGCAGTTGGGGCATGCCGGCGGGCTTCAGAAACAGAGGCAGTTTCCAGGCGTGGACGCGTTTCTCGCCTCCAAGTTGATACGCCAATCTGAGGCAGACAGGTTGGAGAAAGACATGGCGTGTTTTTGTCTCAAAAATGTTTGGGGACCCCAGCAATGGTCGGTTTGCTTTTGGTGTGCCTTTAGAACTGCTCGTTTTTGTTATGTTTTTTAGAAAAAACGTTGAACCGCAAGGTTCCAGGACTCCAGGACTTCCCAGCATGCCGATTCTTTCTTTTCTGAAGGTAAGGAGTTGGTCTGTCCAAAGGCATTCCTTAGTCCTTGCCTGGGCATAATGTATTTGCCCGCTTTGCGGTTGATTGAGAAAGCTCAATTGGGACTTCCAGCGCCGCGGCCTTGATCCGCGCGCTTCCAGCCACAAGTGCCGGTCTGCAACGTCAGTCGCAGGCTGCGCCAAGCCCATGGCCACCATGGCCAGAGGCCGGACGGTTTGGGCCGTTTTGGGGGCTCGGGGGAAACCGGGGGAAGGACCTCTCAACTGGGTGTGCCTTCTATAAGGCGACCGGGTTTGGGGGTTAGGCAAAAGGGAAATCACCATTTTGAGAACCCTCTGCTTTATTTTGCATTTCAACTGTCATGCTTAGTTGGATCTTGGGATGGAAGTCGTAATGACATCATTTCACATCTTCAAGGTTCACTGAATACAGACCAACATCCACTCATGACATTTGTAGCTGAGGGAAGAACCGGGGGAAAAAGTGAAAGGCTTTTGCATGACTGACAGCGGCTTGTTTTGTTCGTGCACAAGCCTTTTCTCAATTTGCAAGCCGTTTTTTTGTTTGCACACCGCTTTCAGTTTAAGCATTGAAAGAAACAGCCACCTAGAAGCAAAATAAGAGCATGGCCCGTGTCTTGCATGTATTTGATATTTATTGCCGACCAAGCTTTTCTGCATCATCATGTTTCATATTCTCACCTTGACATGGTAGGCAATAGCGCCAGTTGACAAGACAGCAATCAAGCACCCAACGAAGTAAGCGCTTTAAGATACATACATGACTAGGACTCTATTGACTGGGAATGCTTTCGATGTTACAAACTGCTGTTCAAACTGGAAGTCTGGTTTTGAGTCTGCAAGTTGGATTTCAGATTCAGTTTGCAGCCCGGTGTCAATTTGCAAGATATCAGTTTGCAAGCCGGCTTTCAGTTTGCAAACTGGCTTTCAGTTTGCCAACCTGCTTGCACTGCACAAATTGGTTTGAGTCTGCAAACTGGCTTACTGGCAGTCAGTTTGCACGCCATTTTTCAGTTTGCAAAGTGACTTTGGTTTGCAATCTGGTTTTTAGCTTGCAATCTGGTAGTCAGTTTGCAGACTAGTTGGCAAACTGGCTTTTAGTTTGCGAACTGGCATTCAGTTTACAAATTGGTTTCACTCCGCGAACTGGCTTGGAGCCTCCAAACTGTGCATAAACTTGCTTTCAGTTTGCAAGCCCGTTTTTTTGTTTGCCAGCTGCTTTTTCAGGTTTCAAGCCGGATATAATTCAGCACATTGGTAATCAGTTTTCCAACTGGTAATCAGCTTGGCAGCTGATTTTTGCAAGCTGTTTGTCAATTTGCACACTAGTTACGAGTTTGCAAACTGGTTTTCAGTTTGCACAGCGGCTTTCAGTTTGCCATCCGGCTACAGTTTGCAAGGCGATCTTAAGTTGGCAAACTGGTCTTTAGTTTGCAACGTGGTTGTGAGTTTGCAAATCATGTTTGTAACGATTTATTCGGTTTGTAAGGCGGTTTTCAGTTTTCGAACCGGCTTTCAGTTGGCCAGCCGTTTTTCAGCTTGCAATCTCTGTTTGCAAGCTGGTATCCTGTTAGCACACTGCTCTTTCGGTGTGCGAGCTGGTATTCATTTTGTATATCGGCAAAGGTTTCCAAACCGGACTCCTTAAAGCCGTCCCAAGCTAAGATGCGTCTCCAGCGGACCATACGCATGTTCGGTTGCCGGGAAGATGGGCATCCCTCAGCGTGTCAGCTGTCTTGGCGTGTCAGGGCTGCACACGGCGCTGGGCCTTGGGCTGCTCAGGCAGGGAAATTGTGGGAAGGGAGTTCGGTGGGTGCTTCTGGCATTGGACTGTTACTAACCTTCCATTTGCTGAAATGATGTTTGTTCACTTATCCCTGATGGTTTTAGAGAGAATCTATCACCACTGGACATATTTTTAGTGTTTTGTGGGGAATTAAGCAAATGGAGGCAGCTAGAAGGAGCCAAACAAAAAGGTGTTAAGAATCAGCATGCTGCACTTGGTTGCCTTTCCTGCCTGGTTTTCGTTGATTGACCAAGGTACCGGTTAGAGGCATCCTTCTTGACCATCTTGGATGGGCCTGTGAACCATGCTTAAAAAAAGATGCAAAGACAGGGATAGAAAGACTACTTGGCTGTTCGGGTTCTACAGCTGTCGCATGCCGAAAGCTTCACAGTTCCTGGCCCTGGACATTTGGAAGACATTCTGTAACTTATTCTTTGGACGGTGTCACGCGGTGTTTGGCTCCGCTGTAGCTTCAGAACAGGGTCACATCAGTTGCTGGCATTGTCTGGCATGGTCATGCCAGCCAGCAGCCAGCCCCTAGGCAGCAAGGAGCAGCCCAATTAGTACGTGTTGTATCAGGTACCCCCGATTTCCTTGAAACATGGGCGCGCGAGGAGCTTGCTTTGGTGGGCAGTGCGCACACGCTTCCGCGCAAGCTGTTTCCTACCGTCATTGCAGAGCAACACTTTCTCAGAGCATGGGCCATCCCTAGCGATTCTTGGCCGCTGTCAGAAGGGAAGGCGTTAAAAGTGGCATTATCGTTTGATTGTTTGAAACAGAGACCAGCACATTGTTTGGGGCCCTTGGTTTTGGCAGACCTTCCCCCGCCTCCCTCTAATTCCTGCTGTGGCTAGGAAAGTCTTTATACACATATATATATATATATGTTTGTGCCACATCTTAATCGTCCCTTTGCACTCCTCCTTCTCTCTCCCCATCTGTCTCTCGCCTCGCAAAGACACCAAATGCGAGAGAAACAGATGGTGGGTGGGAGAGAGAGAAGGGAGTGTGAGGAATGTGGCTGACGAGTGAGTGCGAGGAAGAAGACAGGCCGTTCGTTATCTCACTGATTTTTACCACCTTCCGGCTTCTCGTCATCATCTTTTTATAATTGGAATTTTGTAGATTTTTCGCGAATGTGGGAGAGAGGAGACATTCGCACCCTTTTCTCACTCCAACGAGCGGGATGTGGGGAATGTAAGGATAGTGAGGATACGAAAGGAAGGGGAACGGTGTCAGCGCTTCCTTCCTCACTTCGTCTCGCACCAACCCTTTACACCTTCCGGATTCACCGCCAGACGTAGGAAAGTGAGGGAAAAGGAAGGGGAAAGGAAGGAGCGGAATGGGTGAGTGATAAGGCCGGTTCCATTCCCTTCCAGCCCTCACCCATCTCCTTCTCTCCCATGTCTTTCTTCTCCGTTCTCTCACTGTCATATATTTCCAGTTCTCTCACCAAACCCCACCTTCACCCTACAGGACCACACCACAGCCCAACCCACCCGACCACCACACCAGAGACACCCTACCACTAGCACATCTCACCACACCACAGACCACATCTGTTGCCCGTGACCGCCTGACGTGCCAGGCTCGGCGCTGGCTTTTACCTCCCAGGCCTCTCGCCCGTGGAGTATGAGGATGGCGCCAGGATGCCCCAGTTCCAACACTCGGTGCATGGGCGCATGGGCGTGTCTTCCCTTGATGCCCTTTTTGGGTTGCGTTTTTAGGAAGCTACAACCGGTACAAATCGTTTGGGGACAGCCCCCCAGGCCTGTGCAGCCCAGCCTCACCTTATGCCGCTTGACACAGGAATATGGTCTCTGGCTTGGACTTCCATACTGTTCATTAGTAGACGAACATACTTGCAGGTCCCAACAAGGCATACAACTGCAAGAACGAACAGGCCTGTGGATTTGTCCGATGTTCTGCCCCACCTTGCACGCGCAGGGCTCTGTGTTTTATCGCTCAATTGCAAAGCACCCACCCGCCCCTTTGGAAGCTCAATGCCGTGCTGCCAGGTTTGCAACAGCAGAATCCCACAGCACACGTTTGACGTTTAAACATAGAGTAGACTGCATTTTGTTCTCATCCTGCATCAATCAGGTTGTGAGGAAGGTGTCGTTCGCCCGAGAGGTTATAGTTTCTGGGGGACAGGCAGGATGTGACCTTCGCAGAAGGGGTGCGAATTGAGAAGCCTTGCTAAACGTCATTCGATTATATTGGTGCGGAGTGAGTGAAACTGGGTTCACAGTTACCAGTATGTTTTCTTTGCATTTCAATACGTGCTTGTCACATTCTTGAGCTGAACTGCTTCATGCCCCTTACAGTGATCTGAGTATGGAGAATGTGCTTCAAAAGGCTTCTCCACCTGAACCTGACGATCCTGATGATAATACCAGGGTTTGCTTTGTGTTTGTATGTCCAACAATTGCCAGTCAAACAGGAAAGCTCAAACGGCGAGCAGTGACAGCAGGTGTGTTTGCCATACTTGACACAGCTTTAGGCGCCTTTTTTTTCTCCCTCGTCGCGCACGATCAACATTTGCAGGTTTGACATAGTTTCTTATGTGTTTTGATTATGTCATGCCCCTGTGCACGCGCTCAAGGCACTGGTAGAGATGAAGGTGAACAAGTTGACATCTGTGCCTAGCTTAGCTTCCGACGACAATGCCACGCGCGAATGGTGCCTAATCATGTGTGGCCTGTGTGTGTGCGGCGTCCCTCGTTCGTGGGGCTACCCAGAAAACAAAGTGGGTCAAGTTCGCATCCCTACCCTGTTGCTTGTTGGTGTCTTTGCCGAGAATCGGTTTCCGCCCTTGAAATCCAGAATTCTTGCCCGGAGTTTGGTTGCTTTGGGTGCATCAGCATTCATGATCAGAATGGTGGGGACATCGGCAAAAATGGATCTTTTTGCAGGAAGTCAGGGGCCAACCCAGTTCGGCGGAGTTCTGATTGGTCATAGTGGGACACTTCGCCAGGTCAAAACGCAGCTGCCGTATGACTACTACGACTTACCCTTCTGCCGCCCGCGGGTGATTAACAAAAGCCGAGGGCTGAGGGCGAGTTGGTTTGCCTCTCAACTGAAGGCCTAGCTTCTGCTCATCCAAAGCATGCTGAAGCTTGTGTGTTTTCTTTATTTTACTAGTGGCACCGTAGGCCGCCAAGAAGATTGCCACCCAGCAGATTCTGGACAATTGCACTTGGCTGACAAGTTTGGGCTCGAAGGCGCCACGCATTGGATCATGGCCGACAGAGAACTTCGGCATGTCGGTCCGGCTGGAGGCTCGGAATTTGACCAATGGTATTCCTTTGAGGATCCGCCCCTGGCAGAGGGTATGGCGCTGTTCTGGGCTACGACAAGGTCTTGCACCGGGTGCCATCAAGCGAATGGAGCGTGAAGTCGAGGGCATGTCAACCGCCATCCGTGAAATTGCGGTGCTGAAGGCGGCCGATCCGAACACGGCGAAGCTGCGGGATGTGTCACGCAGACCTGGACGGTTGTATTTGGTGTTTGAGTTTGCATCCGATCTGCGGCAGTGCATGAAGAAGCTAGCTTGACTCCTGCATTTGTATGCTCACTCCAGCAGTTGATGTGGGCAATTGACTGCTGCCACGCCCAAAGGATAATCCACAGAGATCTCAAACCTGGGAACATCCTGATTGATGGGGAGGATCACTTGAAGGTTGCTGACTTTGGCACGCACGAGGTAGTCCCTACTTGGTATCGTGCGCCGGAAATCCTGTTTCAATGCATTTGGTACTCTTTGCCAGTGGATGTTTGGAGTGCCGGGTGCATTTTTGGGGAGGATTGGGTGCCCTCTAAACAAGACACAAGCCTTCGTCGCTCCTGGCGGTTCAGCCTGGTCGCAGTTGGTGGGAGTTCGAATGATTTGTGCGACAAAGTGAGCTCATGAAGCTAGGACTAGCAGGACTTGAACCTGCATCCTTCGCGCTGCCATTGCGCCATAGTCCCTTCCGATATCCTGTGCCATGAAGAGCCTTGTCTTCGGACGCCCGCTCAGCATGCGACAGCGAGATCGCCACTTCGAGTGCAAGTTTGACAGACCTCCAAGAAACCCATACTTTTTGGCACACACTTTCCAAGGTCTGAAAGTCTTAAAAATGGACAAGTCTGGCCTCAGCGGGGTTCCACATCTGGAACGGGATGCAGGCGATGCAGGCTCCCAGCTCAATATGGGCATGCTGCACGAGTTTAGTTTGCTTTAATGATTGGATCGCTGCACCGATCCAAGAGCACATGATGCAATGAACGACGCAGTGCCCAATTTCAGGTCCACCAGGCATTCTTGCGCCTCAAAAGCCAAACAGGTGGATTCTGAGCGCCTGCGTGAGCAAAACATGCCACGTGGGGAAGGACCTCTCTTTCCAATTCTGGGATGTGGCCAACACTTTGATGTTTTGGATTTGGACCTTTCGACCTTTGTTTCACGAGTGATTCAAGGGTGTCGTGGAGAAACCTAGGAAGGTTAGTACCGTCACCATTTCAAGAAGCAGCAGCAGGTCGTTGGGACTGGCTTGCCTTGAGTCCCTTGCAGCCCTGAGAGCGGGCCCAAGGTGGAGAGAACTTGGGTGAGATCTTAGAGGGCGACCGCATTGAGCCGCTCGGAAGCCGCGTGCGGAGGGGTGCTGGCTGGCTGCTGCTTGTTGGGACCCAGGGAGGTACTTTAAGTCTTCTACCCACCCCAAAAAGAAACATCTTCACGGGGGACCTTGGACCCTCTGCGAGTAGTGACCCACCTGGTAATTCGACTTCCACATGTTCTTCGTGGAGTTCATGTCGCACGTTGTCAATTCTCCTGGAAACCGGTCTGTTGAAGTTGTAGGCCATGACAATGACCTCCTTTCAGATAAAACCGAGTGGCGCCGCCTGTGATGATTGAAAGTTGTGTGTTTTTGTCCCATGGCATGACCCTGGTTGTGAATCTGACTGACATAAGGAGGTTGTCACGATGATTTGCAGACTTGTCATCGAACCCACTGGCCCTCTCTCTGCCGAGTGTTTGCCCCAGGAACTCGCCCTACGAGATCCGCATGAAGGAGGATGCCACGTGCAGGGTGCTGTGCAAACAGGGCTTGCCCCGCGCTCAGAACCTGTGTTTCCCTGTCGGTTCACTCAATCTCTCATGTTCGAAAAGGGGGCCTCAGAGCAAACGGGGTGAGGCTATTGAAGACGGCAAATTCTGTCTTTCTTTGTTTGGGAGTCTCCGCTCAATGATGGCGGGTTCTAGCAGAGAGTGAGCATGCCTACCTTTGGAGATTGTCCCCATTCATTTCTCACTCTATACGAAGATATACGAAGAATATAATAACGTACTACTCAATAAACGGGTCTGTGTTTCCCTTGTGTTGCAGATCAGATAAGGAGTGGGGCACCCAGTTGAACTGTAGGCAGTTCCACGATTTCTCTGTTAGGTCTCGACTGCCTATTGAATGTGTGCAGGCATTCCGAGAAGGACGGCTAAGACACTTTTGAAGCAATATTGTGAAGTCATCCATGCCCAACCGTGCAAGACATAAGAAGCCCGAGGATTGCGCTTGGAGTTTGTTCTGCTGAGCCATCAGTGCGCCATGGTGTTTCGCATCACCAGACCTTGCCATGACAAGCGCTTTCTGGATGTACAAAATATGAGCAGACCTGAACATGAGCGGGGCTGAAACGCAGAGTTGACGGCGCTCGGTGACTGAGGACTGCTGACATGCGGAAGAAATTCGAGACGATGATCAAGGATGTTAGGAGCTCAGCCTGAGGTTTCCTCTTTGGAAACGTTTGAGAGGCTCGGTGGTTTCCGCCCCAGGGCTCCCTTTCAAATCAAGGGAGGTTGGCCATGAGACATACCGTGGATGGGCGAAATCCATTTCGCACCACCGTTCAGAGGCCCTTGTTTCTAATTCGATTCCCCAAGGCAAAAACCAACCAACGGTTTCAACCGTGGTTTCATTTCGTCAGTATGTGAGTGTATCATTTTTTGGGAACCGCCTTTGGTATTCAAGAGAAACTAACAGGCAAGCAAAAATCCTAATTTTGGGAATAGCCCATTTGAGGGCTGAAGCGGGGAGCGATTTTTGGGGAGCAGCCATAGTCTGCTAGTCAGACATTACTGAATCACAGGGAGTGCATTCAGCTTGCAGCTTGCTCAACCTGTGTTCACTCTCATGTTTGCTTCAGGCCCAAGTAATCTTCCTCTATGGCTGGTCTGCCTTTCCTTTTCTACGCACTACTTATCTTTTTCCCTTGATGCCCTCGCACCGTTTCAGTCTTCAAGATCGTCGTGATGCTTGTCTCCATGCGGTTGTCCGTCCGAAAGTGGAGCCCCCTTGGCGCAGTTGAGTCAAATTGCTCAATTTGGGGCAGCCGGAGATGCCCAGAAGCCCTTGCTCTTTGATTTTCTCGCATTGTGCTGGAGAGTGCCGGCTGACGAGTTGCACATTTCTTTTGACGGCCTTTAAAGCAGGCTCGTCGGAGGACATATGAACACTAGTTTGGGCTGGACCCGGGGGAACAAGCAAATTTGTCCGGGGCTCATGTGCCGTCTCCAGCTTTGCTTGGAGTTCGAAAGGCCGTGCGGCCCTAAGGCCGCCGTAGTTTGGACTGGCTTGTGGGTTTGAAGATCACTTTTGGGCCAATGTTTGAGTTCCCCTTGATCTTTGAAGAGGATATCTAGTTGGACCCTATTCCTATTCCCAGTTGCCAGTGGCGCCCTCTTTTCTTTTCTTTTCTTTTCTTTTTTGGAAAGGATTCCCTTTAATCTCAACCAACCAAAAAAGGAAGACCGACCGTTTTTCCCCATGTTCACTGGGCATCTGAGTATTTGCCCAGCTCCGAGGAATACTTGGTGAACTGGATCGTGGACAACCTGCCCGCAGCCACCAGGTATGCCGCGCCCTGAGCCGGTTCGCTGGGCTCCGAATCTCTGAGCGCCGCATCCTTTAGTGCCATGGAGAGGAATCGTCTCGGGCTTGTGACTCCTTTCCACTGGGCTTGCCCCACAAGGCCCAGTCCAGCCGTACATGTTTAGCCAGGTGGCGCTTCCAAGGTTCGTCAAAGCAAGCGCTTCAGCCATTCACACATTCCTTGGGTTATTGTACAAACCAGCTTTGTTTTGACCGCTGCCTTTCTGGAGGAGGTTTCCATCGTGATGCGGGGTTCTGGACACCCGTTACCCACAAACAACAGTCCACTTTGACACGATTGCTGCCACAATCCTCTCAGTTGCCCAAAGCCGACCTTTTGACCTTTTGACCTTTTGACCTTTTGACCTTTTGACCTTTTGTTTTTCCGTTGTTGGTCTATTCTTTCAGTCAAGGTCCCCTAAATGTTAAGCTTTAGTATTGGGTCCTTTGGGCAAGTGAGTTCAGGTTTTTCTGATCACTTTTGGATTGTGTGAGCAACCATGGACCCCCCCAGCATCTCCCAAAAAGGCACACTGGGGCCGCCAGTTCTGCACTTGGCTCTCGCACCACACGGAGCTCTTGCGGTTGGGGGCAATTGCCCTGACCTCTTTGCTCCGGGGTCATCAAAGTTGCTGCTTTGCTGTTTGGCCTGAGTACCCTGCAGGCCAGAGCCGGCAAAGGCGAGGTGACCTATATCAACGGCTTTCCCGTGGGGGCTGCGCCCTTGGAATTGGGAGGTCCACCGGCCTTTCGGCAGAGGTTGCTGATGTGGGGCAGGACGATGGGACAGACGAGTATGCAACATGTGAGGCAGAGTAAAGATTCACTCTACACGTGGCAACAGACAGGCATAGCGGCATACTGAACATACGCATCATCGAGGCTCGGCTTTCAGCTGCAATGGCATCCCAACTTGGCAGGTAGGAGAAACGGGATCCCTTCTGGCGGTGATCGTAGCGGGAATATGAGCTCGAATGCAACAGACGGGCTCAGGTTGCGCAAACACAATCTGGGCAATTTCAGCGGCACAAAGACAACGCGACCAATTTCCATTCTTGGGGGTGACTCCTTTCAGGTTGGCGAGTTATTGCAATAATAGTTCACCCGGACGTTACGACACGGCTGTTGCAATTTGGCTTTTAGTTGTTTTGCTAGCCAGGTTCCGTTCAGGGTGATTTGCAGTGCCTCGCCGCTGCTTAATTAGTTGCCGTTTGCTCCCACAGGCTATGTCCAATTTTGCTCCCACGTGTGTGTGTACATATATACATATATATATATATGTGTGGGTGGGTGGGTGGGTGGGGCCAGATACAAATATCCGTTGCCTCAGGTTCAGAAGGGCGGCAAGTTCTACCTCCACAACCATGTCAGGCCCGCACGGGCGCCTTGGAAAGTTGGGCATGCAGCGAAGCATTTCCGAATGGATCTCATGTCCCAGCTGTTGAAGAGGGTGAGGTTCAAGGTATTCCGAGCAAATCTTGAAGGTGCTCTCCGGTAGAATTTCGGGGGACCCCGCTTCCTGCGACACCAACGCAACCCCCCGAAGGAACATTCAGTAGTGACAATGCCCAAATTCCTATCCGGGCTTTGGTTTGGTTTCCTAGCGAAAAGAAGCCCAGCCCAGCCCTTGCGCGGTTGATGCCAGT